CAATGCTTCATTAAATTTATGTTGTAATATCAATTTTAATTTATATATAAATGCAAGCAAGTTTAAAACAATTATTACTAAAATAATAAAATAATAGCCTACTGCTAGACTGACTTAACATCTGATTAATGTTGCATCTTGAATTCAGGTTAAGAAGTAGATGTTTTAATGGAAAATATATAGATAAATTGGCACTGTTGACAACGGTATAAACCAAACCATACTATCTTTTGAATTATCATATCTGACTGAATTTCCTCTTTTTGCTCTTAATTCACCTGCAGCACATTAGACAAGGTAATAATTTATGATAATCATATGAAAATATACAATTAATATTCATCACCTCTAGTTTCTCATCACTTTAGATAATCAGTAATGCAGAGTGAAAATGCTGTCAGATTTCTAATTGCTTTGTAATGGGCCTGAAATAGGGAAATCATTAAAGACAAACAATCTGTCACTTGTCTGTTACTTTAACTATCTATCACTAAAAAAGAAACTCATTAAAGAAATTGCTAATGAGCTACAAAAGACTGGACTGAATGTGTCCTGCAATGTATTTTAAACAATACAGTATCTGCCTAAATAATTCCCTAGACACCGTATACATTTTTGTGGACTTAGGAAACATGTATCGCTCATGCAGCTTGATTTTATTATGATAGTTTCGCACTTAACATGTAAATAATTCACATTATTTTCAATGTGACTTACTTCCACATGGCATCTACTGACCTGAGATTCATGTGTACAGATGCAGCCCGTTACTTCTATAGAAAGCTGCTCTCTGTGCATATGGGCAACATAGACTGATAGTTTTGAGTCTTCCTGTCTCAATACTTCCTTGCCCTTCGGTCAGGGGATTCCTATTTATCAAATAAATTTACTAGGGAACCTCCACATAATTTATTATCAGGGCAGGCAGATCTGGTACTATTATTACTGCTATTAATACTTTCACTAACTATTTACTGTATTTAGCATCATCCCTGTGTAAAGGGATAAAATGGAAGTGACATAGTTAGTGTTTAGAAGGTTTACAGTAATCAAATAATTGAGTTGTCATCACTTTAGCCAAACCAGCAACCACCACATACAAGAGGGAGTTGTCAGCCAATTCAGGGTAACACTGAGGTTGAGCCTGAGAGTGTGTGTGTGTATACACACATACCTTTAGAACAACCCCTAAGGTGGAACACCCCACCCCCAAAATAAATAAAAAACCCAGCCCAGTGAGGACTTAACATGTATAGTGCCCTCAGAATACTGACTGTTGAGAAGCAGGGGAGAATTCTGAAAACTGGATGGACAGAAAAAAATTGAATGGTTTGGTTGGAAATGTAGGAGGAGGCAGACACACAGATATAAACAGGAAAGAGAGAACCATTTCATTGTCTGTAAAGGCCATTTCTTGGTACGCTTTGAGAAGTTATTTTGAAATATTCCCAGGGACAGAAGTGCTTAACTGCCATAAAAATCAATGGAGAAATCCAAATAACATTAAACATTTTGTCTGTTGGTGGCTTGATCTTACAAAAATAATGAAGTAGTTTAAAAGCTTTCTTTTTATTGTATTTTAAAAGATGAGATCAACGTAATAGTTTTGCAGTCCCAATAATTTATCTGAAACTTTACTTAAAAAAATTAAAAAATTGTCCAGTAGCCACTTAAGAGACTAACTAAGTTGGTTCTGGGTACAGTATAAGCTTTTGTATGCATGCACACTTTTTCAGATACACTGAAGCAGAAGTCACCAGACCCTTATATATAGCGGGAGGGTGGGGTGGGGTTTTTCTCAGAAGGGTCGTAGGAGATGGGTGATTGACTCTTTTCTCTAAAAGTATGAATCGGGGGGGGGGGATCCATCTGCAGTAATTTATATATAAAGCTAATGTTTTATGAGCAAGTAATAAATAATAATAATAATAATAATAATAATAATAATAATAATAATGTTATTATTTATGCCCTGCCCATCTGGCTGGGTTTCCCCAACCACTCTGGGCAGCTTACTGCACATAAAAAATGGTAAAACATCAAACATTAAAAGTTTCCCTAAACATGGCTGCCTTCGGATGTCTTCTAAAAGTCAGATAGTTGTTTATTTCCTTGACATCTGATGGGAGGGAGTTCCACAGGGTGGGCACTACTACCGAGAAGGCCCTCAGCCTGATTCCCTGTAACCTCACTTCTCACAGAGGAAACCACCAGAAGGCCCTCGGAGCTGGACCTCAGTGTCCAGGTTAAACAATGGGAGTGGAGACATTCCTTCAGGTATACTGGGCCGAGGCCATTTAGGGCTTTAAAGGTCAACACCAATACTTTGATTGTGCTTGGAAACATACTGGGAGTCAATGTAGGTCTTTCAGGACCAGTGTTATATGGCTTGGAGGCCACTCCCAGTCACCAGTTTAGCTGCCGCATTCTGGATTAGTTGTAGTTTCCAAGTCACCTTCAAAGGTAGCCCCACATAGAGCGCGTTGCAGTAGTCCAAGCGGGAGATAACTAGAGCATACATCTCTCTGGCGAGACAGTCTGCGGGCAGGTAGGGTTTTAGCCTGCGTAACAGATGGAGCTAGTAGACTGCTGCCCTGGGCAAAGAATTGACCTGCACCTCCATGAACAGCTAGCTGTAAGTCTAAAATGACTCCCAGGCTGCGCACCTGATCCTTCAGGGTCACAGTTATCCCATTCAGGACCAGGGAATCTTTCACATATGCCTGCCCCCTGAAACCCCCAAACAGTACTTCTGTCTTGTCAGGATTCAGCCTCACTCCATTAGCTGCCACCCATCCTCCAACCACCTCCAGACACTCACACAGGACACTTGGCGCCTTCACTGATTCTGATTTAAAAGAGAGGTAGAGCTGGGTATCATCTACATACTGATGAACACCCCCCTGATGATCTCTCTCAGCGGCTTCATATAGACATTAAAAAGCATGGGGGAGAGGACGGTACCCTGAGGCACCCCACAAGTGAGAGCCCAGGGGTCTGAACACTCATCACCCAACACCACTTTCTGGACACAGCCCAGGAGAAAGGAGCGGAACCACCATATAACAGTGCCCCCAGCTCCTCTAGACGGTCCAGAAAGATGTCATGGTTGGTGGTACCAAAGGCCGCTGAGAGATCCAGCAGAACTAGGAAGCAGTTCTGTGTGTCAAACGTATGGTAAAGATTATTGGAAACAGTGGAAAAAAGGTTTTCTGGAAAATGATTTGTGACCAACATAACATGTGACAATTCACTGACAGACACCCACAAATAAATGTCTCAGAAGCAAGACCCTGTGTATATGACACTTGACTATGCATACCCAAGCTGCAGGCCAGCATCAAGTCCATGTGGGAAGTTGTACTGCCCACAGGAATATACACTTGGCTGTGGCAACACCCTAATGATTTGTTTCTTTTCACCCCAATGTTTATCATCATTTGCAGGGAAGACAAATGTCACAGAAATCTCATCTTAAAAGGGGATTTCATACTAATGAATATCATTTTGCATCACCTGGCCAACCAATTTCCCAGTCTCAAATTCAACATTAACAACATTTTGAACTGACACCAGTACTTCAGTGGCTGTTTCTGCTTCATCACCTTTTTAAAAAGATAATCACATTTCCCACAGGGACAGTATTCACTGTGTTTGCGGTGTTTACTTTAAATTATGTTAAAAATCATTTTACTGTTTGTAAATTAAGTCTGCCTTCAACCTTTTATGGGGTTGTACTGTTCTCTGAGGCAACGCAAGGGACCCTCTGCTCCTGAGGTGAATGTTTGTATCTCTAGATCAGGGGTGAGGAGCATTCAGCCCTTGGGTGAATCTTGGCCCTCCAGACTTCTTCATTTGGCCTGTGAGGTCATTTTGAGCAAGCCATGACCACTCACTCTACACCTGATGTCATACAGGTAAGGGCAGGGCTTGCCCAAATCTCATTTGTTCAGCTCCCAAAGTGCCCAACACCCAGATGTTTGTCAGGACACTTTGAAGAACTGTGCAAATTAAGGACCCAGCACAAAGCAGGACAACTTCACCTTCACATCAGCCAATACGAAGGGAGAGCAATCCTCCAGGCAGCATTCCCATACTCAGCACTAAACAGGATTGCTGCCCACATGAATCCTGCCTAGCTGCTTTCATTAACAAACTAAATGGCTCATAATATACGTAGAACTGTATCAAGGATAAACGTCTTCCATTTCCACCTTCACCAGGGTCTCACTGGGGCTACTCTCTTCCAAGCCTAGTTCATCATTTGCCCAATCAGAATGCTAGCGACAAATGACAAGTTGTATTAGTAGATGTGACAGTATCAAATTGACGCGGACGGAGGGAAATTGGCATTTACACATTTGCACTCTGAGCCTTTATTTACACAGAAGTCTGATTCATTGTGTGTTGCTTGATCATAAAGGGTGGTGTTCAACGTTCAGAGTAGACCCATTGAAATCAACAAACGTGACCAAGTTAGGTCCATTCATTGCAGTGGGTCTATTCTGAATAAAATTTGGCTGAATAGCAACCAAAGAAGGCCCCAGTCTACGTCCTTAACTAGAACTAACTTATGACAAAAAAAGAAAAAAGTTTTGCTCTACTTTTCTAAACCCAGAACTCTTGCTATTTTAAACTGAGGTAGCTCAGGAAAAAACAGGGGCATTCCCATCTCCGCCGCCCCCCGCCCCTAGTTTCCATATGTTCCTTATCTTAGGGTTTAGGAATTGCCTCCCCCCCCCAGCAATTTATATGGAATGCGACTCCATACTAATTTCTCCTCCAGCGTCTCCGGATTGGGGATAAGGGTGCTGAAAACAGGCAATATTTAGCACCCGCTTAGAGCCGTTGCTCGAAGAAGCAAGAGAATGCTTAGCGAAGCTTCCCTTAAATTTTCTTTGCAAGAGATAAAGCTAAGCCTGCAGGTGAGGAGGAGAAGAGAGGCTCTCGAATCTACCCAAACGAAGAATTAAGTAGCGTGAAGACAAACGCTCACTCACAAAGCGCCGCAGCTTCTCCATCTGCTCCGAGCGGCCTTCGGTCGCCATGACGACGGCGTCTCTCCTCAGCCGGGCTCGCTTTCCTCCGTGTGCGTCGACATGTGGGGCCGGGTAGGAAACAGGGACAGCATCCGGAACGTTGCTTACAACGAAGCGCTATGAGGTTAGTCGACCGTTCTTCCTGTTTTATACCCAACGCGGCAAGTTCTCGCCCTCCTCCCTCCCTCCCGCCCTCGAGGATTATCTGGCGGCCTGGTGCACAGATCCACGGAGCCGGATGCGGCCACTGGTTGCTTCCCCGCTTCTAGTTGCTGCTTCGTGAGGCGTTTCGCTCGACGCGGCCCGGCATCGTTTGCCACTCGGGGAATGGCAGTTGGGTGAGTTTGTGCATGCACGGTCTTCTCGCTCCAGGAAGGGCTCCCCTGCCGCGTGCCGCTGAGGCCCTTGTTCCGGCAATGCCAGCCAAAGAGTCAGTGAAATTAGAGTCAGTGAAATTATTATTATTGTTGTTGTTGTTGTTGTTGTTGTTGTTGTTTACGAAGGAGAGACGCTTCGCCTTCTCAGATATGTGCCCTGCCCTACTACTCTGCTGTGTGAAATTCCGGTTTGTGTGTGTTATGGCAGGCCCGTAGGTGGCCTAAATGTTCCGGTGGGGGACACCAAAAAAAGGAGGGGAGGCAGCTTATCCCTATCAACACATTATTGTTTTACTTGTATTCATTGAGGCTATATTATATTACTGTTACCAGCACAGGCCCTGCGGCAGCGGGAAGCCAGGTTGGAGGGGAACTATTTATGAGGCTGCCAGAGCACATGCTTGCGCTGCCTTCCTCTCTATTCTTCCCCTCTTCACCTTCATCCATCCTCTGGTTCCTTCTCAGCCCCATCCCTTTGCTCTTCCTCAGCCTCTCTTAGCCCCATTCACTTCTTGTTCTCTCCGGCTACTCCTTTTGATATGTTTTGTTTTTATATTGTAAACCACCCCGTGATTTTCAGATGAAGGGTGGTATATACCGTATTTTTCGCCCTATAGGACACACTTTTTCCCCTCCAAAAATGAAGGGGAAATGTGTGTGCGTGCTATGGGGCGAATGCAGGCTTTCGCTGAAGGTGCACACCGACCCCTCTCGCTCTCCAGGCTTCAGGAAGCTATCCACAAGCCGTGGGAGAGCTGCGCGACTTCGCGCAGCTCTCCCACGGCTTGCGGATAGCAGCCTCTTCTGGGGGGAGGGGGGGAATAAAAAAACTTTTCTTTATTTCCCCCCCAAAAAACTAGGTGCGTCCTATGGGCCGGTGTGTCCTATGGGGCGAAAAATACGGTAAATTTAAGCAGGTCTGAATAATGATCATATATTTTCACTACTCATTTTTCTACTGTTTCAATTCTTTCCACCTGTCTCCACCATCTCACTTATTTCCCCACTTATTTCCAGCCACGCCCTTCCTTCCACACTTTCTCACTGCCTACAAATAAAACTATAACAGTGCTTACTGTCTTTTCCCATCTCCCTGATGAAGATTTATTGACCTGATTTTAACTTTTTCCCTCATAGGGAGACTAACATTATGATTGTCTAATCTCATTACTTAACTTTGTAAGCAACTCTGGATACTTTTTTAGACTGATCATTTTTCCATCAGTTGTATAGTATGCAAAATAAAAAGATTCATGCTCCAGAACAGTGGTGTTTGCCAAGGTTTATGAAGCACTGTGTTTTGTTCACAGGTTAACGAAAATTGTGGGTAGCATCCTGCTACCCACAATGGTAACAAGATACATAATGAAGCTCACAAGCAGGTTTTAGGGCCAATAATGCCTTAACGTGTTTTTTCTCCATCAGCATATTTTGGTCTGCCTCTGAATAAGCTAAGCTTGTGAAGGCTAACAGTAATGGTTTTTGGTCTCAAACCCTGCTTTGTCTAATCACCTTTAACAGGGTGTGTAAACCAGTGGCCAACACCATACAACATGCTATGTGAAAAGTCCTTTATAACAATCGCCCCAAACTGAACTAATTTCTTTTGTCTTGATTAAGCAGTGTGATCCTGTCTCTACTCAGAAGTAAGTTCCATTAATTACCAGTGGGTATAGTTCTGCAGTCTTAATTTCCTTGTTGCTCCCGTCACTTCCTGTTCTCGTTGAGAGTTGCCATTTAGGTACCAGGACTATGACAGATGTGGAGATCAAATGTCTCTTCCCATCTCTATGCCACACCTGCTTGGTACCAGTCACAATATTTCAGTTGGAAAAAGGGAGAGCCAAACTATTGTGATTGTGATTCTTTGTTTTTCCCTGTTCTATTTGTCCACAACTAAGTGTGCTTTAAAAAGTAGGGAGTTAATAGGATACCCGCTGCCTCACTGATGTGACTGAGAGGACTGTGGCTCACTTGTCAGAAAGACTTGGAACACAAGAGATATGCTTAAGTTGGAGACATTAACAACAGAAAAGGGCTTTATAAATCTCCCAATCACTCTATGAAGTCCTCACATTTCACTCATCAAAGGACATTGAACACACATGCCTATTAATAAATAGGCAGCTGCCCTGAGACCTGTGTCCTTTTTTGCCTCCCCTGGGCAGATTCATCCAGGGAGATATGGTCCTTCAGATAGTCTGGACCCAAACTGTATATGGCTTTATAGGTCATAACCAGGACATTGAATTATGTCCAGAAATGGTCTGGTACCCAGTGGAGCTGTTGTAATAAGGAGTTTCTGTTCTCTCTGCACCTGGCTCTGGTTAGCAGTGTGGCCACAGCATCTTGGACCTGCTGAAGTTTCTGAACACTTTCCAGAGGTAGCCCTATGTAGCCCGTTATTAACACCAAACACTTGTTTAGCACTGAAACAGCTTCCTCAGATTTAGATGGAAAGGAGAGATAGAGTTGGGTGTCATCCACATCTTGGTGGCACTGAACCCCCCAAACTCCAGACAACCTCTCTCAGTGATTTCATGTAATGGGGGAGAGGACAGAACCCTGAGGGATATCGTAGACCAGCAGCCATGGCACTGAACAGGAGTCCCCCAGTGTCACCTTTTGGACTTGTCTCTCCAAGATGAACTGAAGCCACTGTAAAACAGTTCTGCCAAATCCTATCCCAGCAAGGTGGCCTAGAAAGATACTTTGATCAGTCGTATCAAAAGTTGCTGAGAGCTCTAGCAAAACCAACAGGAACAGTCCACCTTCCCATCTCCTATTATTGGTCATTCACCAAGGCAACCAAAGACATCCTGCCCTATAACTAGGCCTGAAACCAGATTGAAATGGATCTAGATAATCTGTCTCACCAGGAACTCCTAGAGCTGAGAAGCCTTTTTGCAACTATTTACCAGAACTCCAGGAAGGCACTGGTTGGACCAGAGTGAGGAACAATACCTGGTTGATTGGCAGGTATTCTGTATTTTGAGTTGGAAAGACTGTAGTAATTCTGGCAGTGGAGCCGAAAGAAACTGTGACTGCACACAAAGGCCAAAAAAAGCCATCAGTGCTGTCATGTCCTCACTCAACATTGGCTGAAGGGAATGAGAGGTATAAACCTTCACTGATAGACTATATTAGTCACAGATCGAATGACATATCCTTATCAACTGTTTGCCCTTGTATTTAGTTGGCAAAGGTGTAATAGAGGTGGAAGAAATTGGGCTGAGAGGTTGTGCTCCTTCAGGTGTATGTCTCCACCACCCACCAAAGCTTTGTACACAATTGCAGGAATGATTTCCCTTCCCTTACCCCTGGGTCCAGGCTTGGGTTGCCGTTCTGGGAAGCAGCACTATATAAGGGACAAGACTTCACCCCTTCAGGTCCTAGACCCCACAAAATTTTGGTTGCCTACAAAGGACAGCTGAAATGTGTGGAGGGCTACCCAGATTCCATTTTGATACAGGACAACACACATGTTGTTCCCTTTCTTGTAGAAACTGAGAATTCTATGTAGAAACTGGAGACAGTGCTACCAATGCTTCTGTCCCATCACTTGATGTATTATCCCAGAGTGACACTATACATTGGAACCTCTGTTTTCGAACATAATCCGTTCCAGAAGACCATTCGACTTCTGAAATGTTCAAAAACCGAAAACTGAAAGCGGAAGCCTCAGTACAACAGGAAAACTCAAAACGAAAGCTGCATCGCACGTTCGGCTTCTGAAAATAATTCAAAAACCAAAGCAGTTACTTTTGGGTTTTCTCCGTTCGAAGGCCAAAACGTTCGTCGGAGACATTCGAAAAATGAGGTTCCACTGTACTGCTATTGAATAATATCATTAGGGTTTTTTTGAGGAGGAGTATTGAAGTCCAAATATATTTTCAAAGCTCTTTGGAGGACCAGTTGCTTACCAAGCATTTCTTACCCCGTCCTTCAATGCACTTCATGAAAATGTGTTTTCCTTAACAGTTCAGAAAGCCCATGTCAGGTTGAGGAAATGACTTCTGCAAGGGCCATGAAGTATCTCCATTGCTGCGAGAGTCGTGGATATTTATTCCCCTGTCTTCCAGTTCCTTGGATCGTTGTCTCCTTGGCCCTGAATTTTCTCTGGTATATAGTTAATGAGAAGCTGTCATTATCATGTCAGCACATTACAAAGGCTTTCTCTTTCTCTGCTGTTCATTAATGTAATGAGCTGTTAGCCATTGCCTGACACTGATTGCATTTTGTGCTTGTACTGAGGGGAGGCATCAGGATTGCCATTCTCCTTGGCATGGTAGATTGGAAGATGGTTCTGTTTGCTTTTCAGTATTTTGTTCCCCTTTTTTTGGAAGCAGGGAAAGTTTGTTCAAGTCTGTAATTCCAAGTGGTACTAGTCAACAAGTAATGCTTCAATCTTGCATGCTTCCTAAGGAGTAAATACCATTGAATTCAGTAGGATTAGTACTTGGTAATATACACCCCCTAGAGTTCTTTTACCAGAAAAGTGTTTAATGTCTAGGATCCAAAGAGCTACCGTATTTTTCGCTCTATAAGACGCACTTTTTCCCCTTCAAAAATGAAGGGGAAATGTGTGTGCGTCCTATGGAGCGAAGAAGCCATAGCCCCGCGACCCTCTCCCAACTGGAGAGGTGACGCGCGGCTATGGCAGGAGCCTCTATAGCTGCGTGTC